ATTGTATTATATAATTCTTTATACATTAAAAAGTTTTTAAATAATCTTCTGCTTCTTCTTGTGATAAATAAATAATTGGAATTTTGATTAAATGCTTTAAAGATTCAAATGTATCATCTGAAGGTGAACCTGAACGGTTGATATAAATTAACACATGTGAATGGGGGGAAGTGTTAGCAATAATGATAATTTGTTTTAATATCGTTAATGTTTTACCTTTATTTTGTTTACCAATTGCTGCAGTGATTGAATTTAAGTAACATTCAGAATATGGAATTTTCATTAATTTTTCCTTAGATAGAGCATTTCTATTATCACTCAATGCTTCATTAATCATATCATCTACGTATGTATTATATACTCCTGCTAATTCTTCATAAGGGGGATGAATTTAAATCCATTTAATCAAAAATAAATTTATAATTTTAAACATTTCTATTCATCAATATTTCATCATATGAACTTCTATACTGTGGTGGTGTACCTGTTGGATGATATTTCAAACCTTCATCCGGTGTCCATGTCCAATATGTAGTCCTAGTAAACCAAACCTGAGGAGGATTTGTCACCTTTGAACAGTAAGTGTCATTTTCACCCTGAATGATTGGATAAGCTTTCACTTGTACTGTAACTTGTGAGTTGAAAGTTTCTAAATCCATCAAAGAATATACCCCCTCCATCACGTTGAACTGGAATAGTGCATAAGAATGAAGTTTGGTCTTTCCATGTTCTAGCTAATGGCATGCCATCATCTGCATTCATTGGTCTAGTTAATGAGTCCTCGTATTCTTCCGTGCATTCATTCACTCCATCTAAATCAGAAGCTTGAAGCATACGTGTAAAGAATATGTCACCCACTGTGGTCATCGCTTGATCGGGGAAGTTTCTGGAATCTATAGTGACCTGAAGACCTCGAAGCATTGGATTTTCTAAAACCGTTCTTTGCATTGCATTCTTCGGAAATGCTAACACAACATCTGTAACATTATGAAGAGCGTATGAGAAATCTGAGCTAATACCTTCAGGAGTGATGCAACCTCCATTTAGTGAACGAACGTCAATATGTTGAGCTGGAAATCATGAATGGATCTTCCTTACTAAATAAACGTGGTATTGCTTTAACTGATTCTTCAATTAAACCGTATCCTGGTGTAATGCATTTATCCTCTAAAACTTCCATCTTTGTGCATGAAATAATAACGTCTTCAACTGTTGCGTCAGCAGATGTAGCGACTAAGCTTGTAATTAATTTGGCAGGAAGTCCGATTTGTTGGAATTTGCGATCATATTTATAAACATGATTCATAATCTTTTCATAATTTTCATCAGTTATCTTTTCATAAACGTAATTTTGTAAATCAGCAACTCTTAACGGGTCAACCTGACAAAATACTAAAGTATCCCTGAAAACATAATATTTAAGAATGATATCACCAAATGATTTAGGATAATCATCGAACGCCTGAAATGCTAACAAATCATTTACCGGAATAATCATATCAAAAGTGACATCAACTTCTTCATTTGCTCTCTTGAAAACTTCTGAAGGGTCAATATATTTACCACATACTGAGTTATCATATTTTTGAACATTATTATATAACGAATGAACAAACTTTTTAACTTTCCTTTCTGATTTTGGTTTATATGTTGCAAATGCAAAAGATTCACGGGCGCAATCCATCTGAAGATAACCGGCATCACCTCTTTCGGTTTCTACTTCTAATTGTTTAAAGCTTTGATTTGATGATTTGTAACCAACGAATAAACGCATACATTTAAAAGCGGCATCACATGTGAAAGCTTTATTTGAAACTAGAGTTGCTTTAACTTTGCGTTTAATATATGTGTCACCTAATTGGTTCACATCATGAGCCGGATTTGTAATTCTTAAATGAGTTTGTTTATCATCAAAATATGGAGCATCAGAGTCATAGCATGAACTTGCAAGTTCTCTATAATATCTTCTACCGTCATTCTTTGCGAATATTTCATTTATCTTTTCGAATGAATGAAACACATTTCCATTAATCGGTTTAGTGTTTGGCACTAAATAGTTAGTCGTCATTTATTAATAAATAAAAAATCAAAATTAAAAGATGAAAATGAATTTTTAATTTTAATGAAATAATCAACTATGGCTGCAGGTATATTTAAGAAACTGTGGGATAGAGTAAAAAGAGGAGCGAGTAAAGTTTGGGAAACAATGAAGAAGGGAGCAAATTGGATATTTAAGAATAAAGAAGCAATTAGTGATGTTGCTGAATCAATAACACCAAAAGCTGCCCCAATAAGAGAAGTTTTAAATAAACGAGAAAAAGTTTATCAAAGACTACAACCGATACTAAGATAAAAATAATTTTAAAATAATTTATTTTTCCACTATCTACCCCCTATTTTATTAAGTATTCCTTCAGCTATTCCACCAATTGCGTTACCTGCTTGTGCTCCCATCGCCGGATTACCTGCTTTAGTACCTAATACCCCACCTATGATAGTTCCTGCCGTTTTCGCTACTGGTGCCAAAAAGTTTGCAATGGGTTTAATAATCTTTTTATGAACCCAACCCGCAGCTTTCTTAATTCCATCCCATAATTTTTTAAAGAATCCTGCCGCCATTTCTGATTTAATATTAATTAAAAAATATATTTCATCACTTATATTCTAATTTTTATTTAATGATAAATGAAACCGATTTTAAAAATAAATGAAACGGAGGAGGAAGAAATAAATGAAAGTGAAAATGTTCAACAAAAAATAAACGTTGTTAAACCAATTACTGAAATAAAAATTTTTTCATCTGTTGAAGAATTTAATGACTATTATGCTAATAATAAAAAATTATTTGAAGAATTGACAACGTGTAAATTGAATAAAATGTTTAAAGTTGATGGATTCAAAATTTCAAAAATAAAAGGAGTGGTTAGTTTGAAATCTATTCCTCAATCAAGAATCACCTCATTAATGAAAATTGATGATTTAACAAAAAGAATAGAAGAGATTGAAGAAAGAATGAATCAAATAATTGATTTCATAAATTCAAATAATCATTAGTTTCTAATTTCTTTTTCTCGTTTATGAGGTCTTTGATTATGACTCCATTGATTCCATTCAGGATTTAAACAATGTTTAATTAATCGCGGAATATCTGACATCATCTATATATAGCTTCTTTTATAAAAGATGAAATAAATTATTTTAAAAATAACTTTAATTTTTTTAAAGTTTATTTTTTTTTAAAAAATTATTTTTTATTTCATTATGTATGGGCTGAGTGTAAATGTCTTACAATTTTGAAAATTTTTTAAATCTTGATTTATTCAAAAACGTAAGAATAAAAACCGTAAGAATCATACATTTTTTACTTCATATGTTAAAAAAAATGATACAAAATCGCTCGATATTGTATGAATTCTTACGTTTACAAAAAAAGTCACAAAACCCATCAACATATACTACTAATGATAACTATATGATTAGTTCTTTACCAACCTTTAAAATTATAAAAAGTGACACTTTCCAAAAGGATATTCCAATGAAATATATATAATTTTTAAATAGTAGTCAATAAGATGTATGCTACTACAGGCGAATCTGCATTCATTATTGAAGGTTCTGGAACATTTTCCGGACACAACGAAAATCAAAATGCGAAATCTCTTGAGCTTCGAGGTTTTAATATAATTGAACAAAATGCTTTCATATTTGACACGAAGTTAATCAATGTTTCGTTTGATAATTCACTCATGCAAATAAATAATAACTTTTTTTTAATTTACAAGTTGAAAATGTTTATTTGCCATCATCATTGCAAAAAATATCATCAGATCAATCGTTTGATTATACATATACTATCAAAAATATTTTTGTAAATGAATCAAATAAATATTTTAAAGATATCAATGGAACTTTATTTTCTAAAGATGAGACTATTTTATATTTTTGGCCTCCAAATCGAAATGAAACATTCATTGCAGTTCCTCAAGGCGTTGAGCTTATTTGGCTTGCTGCCTTTTCTTTTCATAACTTTACCAAATATGTAATATTTCCTTCATCAGTTAGAACTATACAAGGTTATTTCTTTTATACATGTAAAAGTATAGAATATATAGAAATTCAAAATAAAGAATATAAATTGAATATTGATTCAAATGCTTTTTTCCGTAATACACCTGCAGATTCATCTATAATCCATTATATTCCTCTTCCTGATTGCAAATCTCAATCTTACAAAACATTTTCTTTTAATATCATAACTCTTTTATGCCCTTTAATTATTATGTAGTACATATATATTCTCTGTCTTGTATTCATTTCTCGATAAATTAAAAATGTAAATTCAAAAGGTAAAAAAAAATAGTACGATTTTTTGCTCCATATATGATTATTTTTCAGTCAAAACGTTAGCATATACGTCTATGACTTGTCATTGTAATGAATAATATATCAGGTTATAAAAAAGATGATTTGAACATCTTTTGTCATGAAAAAAATCGAGTAGATGTCAGAAAATTGAAAGTGCACCATTAAGAGGAGTATTTCCATATCAATTTTTCTCAATGAGATAAAGAGTGCTAAAATTCAATCAGAAGCTCTGAAAATCACTCATAGTTCCTCAATTTATTTTGAATAGTGCAAGATGAATATTAATGGGTGTCATATTTTATTTACAACTCCCAAAAATGACATGCGATTTTTTGAACAAGCCATCATTGGGATGAACGATACACCCAAAATGTCACATTTTTTTGGATTTAATTATCATGAGAGTTCTGCAAACCATATGCACAATATTTATTCAGCCTGAGTTCTTGTATATATGAACCCCTATGATTCGTTTTTACCCCATGAAAGATGTATGAAGGTTAATTAAGGAACATTTTTATCGAAAAAGAAAAAGAAACTGAGTTTTATATAAAATTACATTTTATAAATTCCAATGAATAAATTTAAAACAAAAAAATATATATAATATATAATAACAACAAAAATAAAAAAAGTTATTTTGAAGGAGTCAAAGGTCTAAGTGAGTTATATTTTGCGTGCGGAATCTTTCTAGGTGTTGAAGGTGTTCCAGGTTCTTCTTTATTTGTGTATCCAAGAATAGTTTTTTCCCAAAATTCCTTAAAATCATTCTGAACAATTTCTCTCACTTGTTTTATATCTTTCTGCAGTTTTGCAACCAATTCCTTAGACTTTCCAATTTTTTCAACAGTTTCATTAAACTCAGAAGTTATTTCTTCCAATTCTACTTCTTTATCAACAGCAAGATTCTGAACTCTTTCCAGTTTCGCCTGCAATTCATTTGTTTCTATTCCTTCTGCGTTATTTAGTTCTGATGAAACTTCTTCGTCTTCCTCTTCCAAATTCGATATTTCGTTGTGAAGAAGGTCCATTTGTGTCCTCAGTTGTTTTGCTCTGTCTCCCAATGCTTCTGCCTGTTTCAACACATCTTTCAACTGTTCGTGGATTGATAACTCCTCTTGATACTTCTCATGAGTGTTTCGGAACTGAATGAAAGCAGCTTCTCTTGATATCCCGCTTTCCCCTGCATCTCTGCTCTTCTGTCTCTCTTTCATCATGTTGACAAGCCTCGTAACTTTCAGTTCTGAGTCTTTCAGCTTCTGTGCAAGTGCAGAAACTTGTAATGATGATGAATAGTTCTTCTTGATGATCTCTTTCATGTAATCCAGACAGAAATTGGCTTGTCTCATGTTGGAAAGCTCAAGAGTTTGTTTGTCATCGTTGAGATATGCGTCAACCCTCTCTTTCAGCTCTTTGGATTCGTCTGCACTTAATCGGCCGCGGCTGGAAAGAAGACTTGTTGGCGCAGAAAGGTTGTCGCTGCTTGTAGAACCGCCAAATCTGACTGATGCGAGTTCTTCCCTTAGCCTGGCGACTTCGGATCGTAATCTCTCGATGACTTCTTTGGGAGACATCTCCATTTCGTTGATAGATGTCTTTGTCTGGATCTCCGCAACAGATTCGCCAAATCTGCAGGTGGAAATTGACTCGGGAATGTGGTTTTTGTTGGTAGAGATGGTGGCAATCATGGAGGTCTTGACATTGCCGATGAGGGAGTCCTTCAAAAACCTTGTTAAAACGGAATCTCGGAATGGAATATGAGATCTCTTCTCGTTTAGGCCAATAATGACTTGCTGTAGGTTGTGTAATGACATATTGATGGCTCGTGCTTCTCGCTTCCTTTGATCGACTTCGCCTTCTAATGAACCAAATTTTTCGGAACCGGCTAAGTCAACGAAGTTGATTTGGGATTTGAGCTTCCTTGTATCTGTCTCGAGAGTGAAATGGAATGTAAAGATCGTGTGGCTACGTGATGAATATTTGTTATTAACTGTTGCGGCTTTTTGTCTCGCAGTTTCGCCAAGCCAGAAGAGTTTATGGGCACTCTCGAATGTAGGAGATTTCTCTGTCAGTAAATCTTTGAATAATGTCTTATTTCCTTTTTCAACGAATGTAACTTTTGTTAAATCCTCTAATTTGTTCATTTGCTTGTTCGGAGAAGCAGTAAGAAGGTCATATGCTACGTTGTTGTATATTTCTAAGTATGATATTTGAATTTCGAGGTTTTGATAATCTGGTTGTTTCTTTTTCTCGTAAACGACTTCAATAGCGCGTGGAACAATGCCTGCGTTTTCTCTTGTGCCATCGCCTATAATGGTAAATGTCTTGCCTGAGCCAGTTTGGCCATAAGCGAAAAGAGTTGCATTGTATCCATTCAAAGCGTGTTCGAGTAAAGGTCTGCCAACAACATCGAATATCTGAGTCTGCTCGCTATCCTTCCAGAATATACCAGAGAAGTTGAAATGGTGTGTGGCTGGAACTCCAGATGAAACTCCTGGAGGTAAGTTGAAACGGAGACTATGCCCATCAAGCTCATCGATAGCAACACCATTAAAGTCATTTGCAGGGTCTCCGCATGGGCGAACTCTTGCAAAAACTTGAATGCATTCTTTACTCATTATTTGAAAAAAAATTTTCAACAAAATTTTCATCAAACATTGGCGTGAAGCGCCATTGCTACACAAATCTATAAATCATTTTAAACGTACATGTGATTAAGCATATATCACATTTAAATGATTTATCTGATATTTAATTTGTATATAGAGTCTATATCATAGGGGAAAGCAATCGATTTATCCTGTAATTTAAGATTTCTTCACATATGAATCGAATGTTAGATTGAAGAGCCATTCTAATACATTTAAATTCTTGATCTAATCAGAGGTTTAACGGCAATAATTCAATATTGAGGGAAAATGATATTGTAAATTTGCTAAGATACATCTTGAGGTAAATGCCATTTGTGAATCGCTTAGAATATTCTTATACTCCTCTAGTATAATTAACACATCCCAATTATACTAGAAAGATTAACCTAATTTTTGAAATTGATATTTTCAATATGGGACTGCAAAAATGAGATGTATTCGATGCATGAAATTTGTATTTATGTTGTACAAAACCAAATAAAACAAATTAAAAGAATCAAAGGAAAATTGCTGATATTGAGGCAAGCTTTCTTTGGTAAATAATATGTATGGGATATGAACGTATCAAAATTGATAAATTATGTATATCACCTTCTTTACATTATCGCTTTCAGTTTGAGCAGTAACCGTTACGGCAAAAAATGAGTTCTCGCCGCAGTGGAATTAAGCAGGAAGAGGCCGATCCAAGACAAGAAATCATAGAAAAGAATCACCAAGAAGAAATCGAAAAGGCCTTCCATACATTTGATACAAACAACTCAAATACACTCGATAAACATGAATTCAGATACGCATTTCGTTCACTTGGCTTTGAAATGACAAAAACAAAGACAGATAAGTACTTTGAGCACTATGAATGCCTCAAAGATGGAATGCCATTCAAAATTTTCCAAAAGATTGCTCTCAAACAATACGGCGAGCAAACACGTAGAGATGTAGTTGAGAAAGCATTTGGACAGTTTGACTTTGATAAGAACGCTAAGATTGGCGTAAAAGATATTTTGGCTGCTTACCATTTAGTTGGAGAAGACAAGACAGAAAAGCAAGTTGAATATTTAATCAAGGAGTTCGATGAGGATGGTGATGGTGAATTAACTTACGATGAATTTTGTGAAATCTTCTTCCCAACGAAATAAAGGAAAGATCATGCTCTATTTTTAATCGTTTCATAAATGTTGAATTCTTTAACGAAATTACAATCTCTTTTAATACTATTTTTTCAAAAAAATATTATCATAATTTGAAATATCAAATGAAATATAAGAATATTTAAGCAAACTCTAATGAACTCTAACTCTAACTAAGTTTTCTAATTGATTTTGGCATAAATTGACCAATAACTCAGAAATCATATCAATAGTTCAAGATTATTAATAAAAAATCTAAGTCAGGTCTATGGAATTACTTAAGATAGTTAAGTAAATGATTTTGAAGGCACTCAGATTAATTAATTCTCAAGAAAAAAAAATAAATTATCTTAATCTCAACTCAAAGATAATTTTCCATAATCAATTCTCAGAGCGGATGATTTGGAAGTCTTAGAGGTTGCCAGTCCCTAAGGTGCTTCCGGTAAAAAATAGACCTTACATTGTCAAACTAACAATGTAATCCATTCAACGAATGGCTGACTCGTAAGGTAGAACTTGGATAAATTTAATCATCCAATATAACAATTTTTAGAAGAACATACCAAGAATCTTGCCACCAGCGTTCTTCTTACGAGCCTCTTCATGATCCATGATGCCCTTGTCTGTGGAGAGAACAACGAAGCCGAATTGGCGGGATGGGAGGAGCTTGGCCTGCCACATTTCGAGCTCACCGAGTCCGACATCGAAACGTGGGCAGATAGCAACGCATTTGTTAAGACGGCCAAGAAGGTTAATAACAATCTTGCCAGAGCGGTGGTCATCGATAACCTCGAAGTCACCGATGTAGTTACGATGGGCCATAACCTTAAGGAAGGCGATGATGACCTTTGATGATGGGCGAATGAGAACCTGACGCATACCACGGCGTTCAGCGTTTGTGATAGCCTTGAGTGCATCAGCAAGAACAGATGTGCGTACCATACTTGAAGAAAAAGGCAGGACCAAACCGTTGTCAAACGGTTGTTGGGATGGTCACAAGGTGAAAACATAAAAAATCTAAACAATAGCATGAGTAAAATAAATTCCCCGTAAGAATGACTTGGAAACATCTAAATAAAATTATCACAATTTAATTTCATCATATTTTCATATTTTATAATGATAATTATTATTAAAATCATATATAACAAACGATCCCATAGTTTATTTTTCAAAATAACTAATTTCTTAGAATTTTCCATTTGAAACCTTTTGATTTCGTAGGATTTTATGGATGCATTGATTCTACAATTATAGTATAGTTATATTTACATTAAAAAGTGTTATTGATGAATGTTGCAGATGGCAATTGTGCCCGCAAAGCGTGACATCTTTCATACAATAGCATACTATTTCTTCAGAGTATTTGGACCAACTATGCTGACTGCTGGAATTGTTGGAATTGCAGCTATGAATTGGATCTTTCTAATTTTTCCAATGTCAAGAGAATCTGGAAAAGTAATAGTAATGCTTTTATTCATACTCGACCTTCCACCTCTTTTCATGTATTTATACTCAATAATATATGCAATTTCAGGAGATAATGGAACACTTCAAGAAGCTCTCCGAAATAATGTACGAAATCATCGAATTAATGAAAATTTACTCAGATCTTTACCAGTTTGCGACAAATGCGGTCTTCCGAAACCACCAAGATGCCATCATTGCAGCTTTTGCAATAAATGCCACTTAAGAATGGACCATCATTGTCCGGCTCTTGGAAGATGTGTTGCAGTGAAAAATATGCAGCCTTTTCTTGTAATGTTAACATGGGGCCAAATACTTACAACAGTTTTCCTTGTACAGTTGCTCTTTCCATACTTCTATTTAGGCGAATTCGTAATAATTGTTTACTGCATGGCTGGATTACTTTTAGTTTTACTAATCTGCTTGACCGGTCTGAAAATGGACGTAATGTACCGCGTGAAGACAAACACTACTGTAGTAGAAATTCTTTCATCATCCAAATATCGCCCGTACGATCTTTGTTATGAAGAAAACATGAGACAAGTTTTCGGCACAGGAAGATTCAGGTTTTTAATTCCTCGTAAATCTACAATGACTGGATTTGAATGGGCTGAGCCAAGATTCCGTAATGATTCGAATGCAACAGAAAATCACGATTATGAATTCAAGAATGTTGATGTAGCATGATTCTTTATCTTATAATATATTTGTGTGTTTTAATATAATATACTTATATATAAAATGTTTATTCTTTACTAAATTTTACCCTATATTTCCAACTCTTGGAAAATTTTCATGACCCCCTACCCAGGGTCCTAAAATGGGTATTTTCCTCACACAGACACCGTGGTTTTTTGAGCCGGGAAATAAATAGCGCAGACAGTTTCTACATATAGAGACATGCTTATACTTAGAGTTTGACGGGAATCTAAAGTGATTTTTTTCTGCATCGCGAAATCTAATGCAATCTCAAAATCATGAAGAAACTGCGAATCGGAGCGCAATTTTTTAATATGTTAATATATAAAGGTACTCCTACTACTGCAAATGCTTCAAATGAAAATCTAAGAAATCAGATTAATTTGATCACATTAGTATAGTATTGGTCAAACCAAAAACTCATATTTTGATATATAGCCTATAGATATTCATATTATCTACTTTTCATTGAATTACATAAGATTTAATAATCTCATAAATATTCTTTTTAATTTTCCGAATTCCGTGTGCATTTAGATTGCCCATACCTGTATATAATAATTCTAGAATGTTTTGGTTAGATATTAAGTTTTTTAGATTAATATTTTAACATTTTGATAAAACAAGCATTTGTTCCATTTTAGAATCGCCATTGAACTCTGGTTTGACTAACATGATGTTGTATGATCAAATAAATTCTAGCTTCATGAGATAAATTTTGAAATTAGAAAATGCGATATCTGACTCAAATATTTATATGAACACATTTAACATTCAATGATAAACTAAAGTACTATACAGCAGATTCGATTTGGCTTATATTTTATATAATCAACTAATAATCCTATAAAATTGTGCTATTCACGTTGCTCAAAGATGTATTGAACATTCACTACTTGTGTATTGATAAAATTAGATATAGATTCTAATGTAAATCGATATTTTGAAAATTCATATATATTTTGTCTTGGTTTGGCATTTGATCGTGTTGAAACCGGAATTGCAATATATATCATCTAAATATATAACTATCAAAATATGAGCTATAGATTTTTAAATTATTCTCCTGAATATGAGTGACTAACATAATTATATTGAATTGAGTAGTAAGAATCATAAATATTAGAATCTGACGATAATTTATTATAACTGTATAAAGGAACAAGACTATAAATGATGATGAAAATAAAGATTAAATTTAAATCTGAAAATTTGAAAACATTAAGTGTATTGTGCACTCTTGTCGGTCAAAGTTTTGCAACCACATTCTGATTGCATCAGATTGTCTCATTCTGGGAGACATGCAGTGACAATGTCTCCCGGAATGAGACATGCAGACCGACAAGAGTGCACAATACACTCTTGTCGGTCAAAGTTTTGCAATCACATTCTGATTGCAGAAGATTGTCTCATTCTGGGAGACATTGCCTCTGAATGTCTCCCAGAATGAGACACTGTGACCGACAAGAGTGCACAATACACTCATTTAAATCCAAATTCCTTTAAATTCTATTATGTAAAATCTCCTATTTTAAACAATCCATTCCATTCTAATAACTAATGATATCCATATACATGGATATCATATCCATTATCTCGTAAACGAAAAAGGGGATTTGACGGAGTCAAATCCCCGCTCACAAAAAGTGGACTTTACATGTCAAATTTTATATGCATGTAATGTCCACTTTTATGAGTTTTAGGAAGGAATTGGAAGCCATGAGTTACTGACATTGCATCAGTATCTCATAGCCTCCAATTCCTTCAAAAATGGGAGAAACTTTGTCCGAATAGTTTAACATTCGGACAAAGTTTCTCCCATTTTAAGAAGGAATTGGAGGGTAAGAGATATACCATATGAATGTATATCTCTTACCCTCCAATTCCTTCTAGAAAGTGTCCAAACTTTGGGTTAATAGTTTGCAAACTATTAACCCAAAGTTTGGACACTTTCAAGTGGAGATGGAAGGCTTTGGGGTATATATTAATACAATATACCTCAAAGCCTTCCATCTCCACTACAAATGGGAGAAACTTTGTCCGAATAGTTTAACATTCGGACAAAGTTTCTCCCATCTTTCAATGTAATTGCTACCTGTGAGGTACTGACTTGAAGTCAGTGCTTCACAGGTAGCAATATCCAAAAATTTAAAAACATTTTATCAGTTCGTTAAAGAACTAGAGCCTCCTAGGTACTGAACCAGAATCAGTGCCTAGGGGACTCTAGTGATCTATATAAATCTGAGAAACTTTGAGGAAATTGTTCGACATTTCCTCAAAGTTTCTCAGCAATTTAGCGAGGAATGTTCGTTATCGTGTAGATATTTATAATATATACATGATAACAAACATTACCGCTAAAAGATGTAAAATCTTATAAGAAATAATTGCAAAAGAATAACAAATTGCAACAAATTTTATATGAAACTGAACCTTATGAGGTAGTGATTCAAGATCACCGCCTCATAAGATTCAGTTTCAATCTCAAGTATCTCAAAAGTAAGGCTCTATTTTTTGCCATGTAAAGTGTCACTTTTTATGTCAAACCGTTTTTATCGTTTTCGTTTACAACAATTACTCAATTAGCTTACTTAACTTTATTTCCAAAAAAAAAACTTTGATACAAATACATTTATTCATTATGATCATTACCTTTCACATATAAAGAAATAAACTGATTTCCGATTGCATTTTCTTTTTCCATCTCGCGTACCCATTGATTTGTAATTCTTACAAATTTACCTTCAAGATCCAATCTTCTATAAAATTTAAAATATGGTGATCCATTTCTTGCAATTTTTAATGAAATGATAGCAAAACGAATATAAATGCTACCATCGGAAAACTCCAATATGTCGGGTTGCGCATCTTGGGATTGTTGATTGCTTCCTATGAACAAATATTTGCTCATCTTAATAATTTTCTTTTCCTTAATGAAATCTTTAAAATCTCCGTCATCTGGCAGTTTTAACATTTTGACAAGTTGAACAGTGTTATTTTCATCAAGATATACAATACCGCATAGATCTGGGCTGAAGAAATGTGTGATAAACAGCCTTGGATCGCCCTGTTCACGGAAATCGAGATCCTGATAGAACTGTCCTGGAGAAACCCTGACTGATCTGCCCATTCGTAGAAGAATTTCCATGAATCTGAGGACATCTGTGTAAACATCATCATTTTCAATATGAAACAATTTAAATACATCATTAATATCTTCGGGATTATAGGCCTCTAATGTGAGTATTGTAAATAGCATTTGTAAACTTACGTTCAATGAAGATCGTTCATCATTTAAACGTATTTCAAGGCCATTAACGTGATCGACACTGTGGTTTTTTTTAGTTCTCCTATCCGCGAATTCTTTGAGATATTTCGCTTGAGAAAAGCAAATTGCTTCAAACTGCGGAGCCTTATCTACGCAATTGATAAAGGAGGCACCTCCTCTTGCCATTGAGCAGAATATCTGATCTGGAAGGTGTGATGGAGGATCTTCGACTTCAACAGGAATTGGTGAAAAAGCATCAGCGATATTACCAGGTTCGTAATCCGACGGAGGATCAACTGAACTCTCATCCTCAGTTGAATTGAGGTTGTATTCATCAATGAAGTCCAAGTCATCATCACTGAATCCGTCAAGATCTGCTTCAGGATGCCACTCTTCATCATCAGTTAGTATACATATCAAGGGTACGGAGGCACTGCGCGCCTCCTTACCCATTATATGTGAATTTGACACTTTACAAAACCGTTAACGTATATTTTACAACACAAACGACAACACTAACTTAACCTTAAATATTTACAAAGCTGCCAACCACTTCACCTCACTAATGTAAAAAATAAACGTTCTCACTTACAAAAGTATTGCAACTCCTCCCATTGCTGTGCTTCATATAACAGCTCATAATCTTCTGACTCACTTTCTTCTTCATATAGGTCAAAATCACTGTCATAGTTTATACCTGTAAGTTTTGACAAAGCTAATGAAACACGCTTACCGTTTGTATCATATGCTTGTATAAACTTTCCATTATGCTTGTAGTCATAAACGCTCAAACTAACTTTACCTTTTCTCCCTCGTATCTGATAGAATGTATTTTCACGAGGAACGAAGAACAAGTTCTTGAACTCATGACCGTTGTAGTTTGTTATCTCAATAGTTTTCGTCATTTATATAAAAATAAAATAAAAAATAAACTTAAAAATTAATGATATCACCACTCCCACACGTATGAAAACATAGCACAAAAATAAATTTAGGTGAATTGATGAAATCTCACCTCTTTTTTCACCTCTTTTTTCACCCTGTTGAATTCATTGCTTTATAACTCTCTTCCTTGGTTTCTTTTTAGTTGCTTTCTTCACGTCTGTCTCCAACTTGACTGTCTTTCTTCTTCGTCCATAATGATACCAGTTACTTCCACCAGTCAATGGGTCAAATGGTCTTTCGTAAGGGTTTCCATACATTCCATAGGGACCATACGGAAGAACTACTGTGGAGAAGAAACATTTTCTTTAGTTCCATCGACTCTATTTAAATGCATTGTTTCACCTTTCATCTGGTCATTAAAGTCTTTTGCGTGTTTTGCAAACTCATCGTCCTTTCCTAAAGCATTTTCTGACTCAGTCGCAACCAAATTGGATGCTTTATTTATGAGCCCTATTTTATTTAATCTTAACTTCTTTGCAACCCAGCCTCCAATCTTCCTTTATTTGCATCTAATGTCTTCGAAACCCTTCCTCCACTCATTTTATTTACTGCGTCATAAGCTCCAAGTGCTTTTGCTCCAAATGCTAATGCTTTTGTTCCCATTGCGCCTAAAGCTGCCCAAGCTACCATTTACACCATATTAAAATCATCTCTCTTCAATATTATCTCATAAAAGTTCTCGTTACTGGAGAAAGTCAATGAAACATAAGCGTTCTCACGGGCTTCGCCCTCACCGCTTTGCGGTCTATCTAACTTATTTCTTATATCATCTATACGCTTCAAAATGTCTGAACAATTGCTAACATCTTCTACAACAGTTATTTCATCATGAATGACCTTCAAGAACAAGCTCATTTAATATGCTATTAAAATCATCTCAATAATGAGTCCATCCTTTCCGTCTTTAGGTAGCACAACATCTTTCATTGAAGAAGGTTCGACAAGTCTTATGTTAAACTTACTGACAAAGTTTGTTATACTATAATGCTTCGGTGGCGAATACATATAGTTTGAAAGACATAATATAGATTCTTCAGCAAATTCACTTATACTGGATTTTATAACAATGTTCTCACGAGACCAAATACCACCAATTGACAATCTTGTAAGCAATCCTGCTGAACCTTCTACTGTAAACGTCGATGGTAACATTCCACGAAGGTCATCTATTGACATCGTTGAGTCACTGAATTTAAATATTTTCTTAAAGCAATCGTCATTATCTAACCATGCAATAGCTTTGAAGTTTTCATTCGAATATACATCTGCTTCATTAAATGTAAAACCTGACTTCTTTGCAGAGACGACTTTAAAATCTATTGAGTTTGTTTCAAAATTATATGCTATGGTAACTTCTGAAGGTAATGGATGCCCTTCCGCAGTCAGTTGTTCTCTCACTACCGTTTGAAGCTTTGTATTAAAAACTTTCATGTCATCTCCTGTGTCTAGGTTCACATACACAGCAACAGGAAAACTATCTTGCTTCTTTGTTTCATCATTATACTCAAAACATTAAAGTTCTTCAATAATATTGTTCTTCCTGCTGGAATACTTCGAACTGTCTGATTTCAATAGCTTTCTCACCTCCTACATACTCTACCCAGTGTCTTGGATATTCATAAGTATACTGACTTTCTTGAATTTTGGTTGGTTTCATCATAACATGTTCATAGTATATCTTTATACTCTTGTCAGTTAGACTCGGTGCTATGTTCTGAATATTTCTGACTTGCATTTTTAATGGAGATAAAATGAAGCATTTAATACATGACGTAGATGAAGACATGAATGAAACTACAGACAAACTTAACTCTTCTCTCATTCTTCCTTTCAGTAAGGACTATGAGTTCTGTTCAAATGGTGTTTATTTCTATTGTGGAAAGATGGGTTCAGGTAAGACATTTAACCTCATTCGTCATATACTCATAACAGAGCGTTTAGGAAACGACTCTTACTATGACCAAATCATTATATCAGCAACTTCAGACTCTATGGACTCAACAGCGAAAACATTTATGTCAAAAGTTCAAGCCTCTGTCGTTAAAGTTCCAGACAGTGAACTCATTGAATTTCTTCAACGTTACATTCGACGTAAGAGGAAATATTATGCCATCGTAGAGTTCATACAGTCAGGAATGCAAAAGACTTCTGAGGAGATGGAAAGAATTATTGACAAACACCACTTACGTCAGTACTCAGGAGTTTACGATATGAAACGACTGACAAACTACATTCTATCAAAACTTTCAAAATACCCCTTCAAAAAATATCCTTCAAACACTCTGCTCGTTTGCGACGACTTCGCCGGAAAAGGTTTAGTTCAAAGCCTGACTCACCATTAGCTAACATCATACTAAAGTCAGACATTACCACTTAACTGTAGCAATACTTATGCAAACATGGAGGTTTTTAGCTTTAAACATAAAACGTCTCATAACTGACTTCGTTATCTTTCAAGGTTTCTCACGTTATGATATTGAACTCATTTGGAAACAGTCAGGTATAACATTACCTTTTGAAGAAATTTGGGAAGCATATAAGTCTCTCATCTCTCCTCGTTCATACCTTGAGATTCATATCATGACTAATACCATTAAAGTCAAAAATATTCCATGGGAACGACCAACATTGTTTTAAAGTTTAACCTTCAATTGACTGATGGTAAACAAATTCCATGCATCTCTGTCGCCATTTCTGTTAATATTTTTGCTGTCATTCATATCATCCACTTCCCCATCCGTTAGCTTTTGAGGATATGCGTTAGAATAGCTGTTCTTAAATGAAGGCTTTTCACCTTTGAGAGCATAAACTCTATAACTTTCTGCATACTTTATGTTTGAACCTCCTGAGCCATCATTGACATAAATTTTTATAGGCTTCCACCCTTTGTTCATGTTCCTGCTTCTTCCCTTAGCTCTTTTGTTCAGTAGTTCTACATCTTTATACACAGCACCTGTCTCAGTGAATTCAACAATATTTTCATTCGTTAGCTTTACATTCAAACCCTTGTCGAGTATATTGTTCATTTCATACATATAAAAGGTTTTTATTCTATATGAAATGAGAAGCAAATCCATCTTAGCTGGTGCCGTTAATGTTCCAATTGAACCAACATCAAATGTTGACTCACGAACGACAAACAATATTGTCATAAAGAACTATAGTTCAGAGTGTTTGAAAGAAAAAGAACCAGAGCTGAAATCCGTGAATTTAAACTCAGCTTCAAACGCTAACGCTACATCAGATGTTAAGTTAGAGTATCCACCACTGGACCAAATTCTTTCAAGAGAAGCCAACGACAACCCTTACACAAATGTTCAAACAAATCCTTCAGATAACGTAGACCATTACCTTCTTCAGTTATACCAAACAATTTTACTCAAAGACGATAAGAAGCTTTTGGTAAATCTTATAAGTAAGAACCAAATAATTCTAACAAAGGAGGACCTTGAAAATGTTATATCACGAATAACAGGAAACAATGTGTCATTGACTATCTCGACCCTGAAATCGAATGCTGTGGTCAAACTCCACTATTCATGAAAATAGGTAACATCCGCATCATTGAAACACCAGGAACTACAGGAGTTGAGTTTAAGTATAAATATTCGAACGAGTATACAAAACTTTCAACAGAATATAAACTTTGTTTGAAATATGTTTTAGTAAATTAAAGCAATTTGTAATATCTATCCAAAACTTCTTCAACAGTATCGAACTCATCTTCATAATGCAAACCTAATCTTATTGACTTGGTGCAGTTTTCACTAACACAATATTTTTCTGTTCTCTTGACTGACATAACTAACTCATTTGTTTCATCAAACAGCAACAACCAAAGTTCATGACCTAATACATAACATTCATACTTTATATTTTTAGCTCTGAGTTCTCTTGTAAGCTGTTGCATTTAATATTTTCTAAAAAGTCAACTTCAACAGTCATTCGCACTGGTGCCTTCAGTTCTACAGGCTCTCCTTGAAAGTCAACAAGTCTGAATTGCATGTCTTTCAAATTATGAGGACTAATGCGAACCCATTTACCTAAATGAGTTGCTATGACAGGAACGTTTGGAATGAACATTGAATTTACTTCATAACAGAAGGATTTATATTCTACTGAACCTTTACTATTAACTCCTGAAATACCTGTGACATTAGCTATTTTTGACTCAATGTACAAACAATTGCCATAACATACGTATGGAACAGATTTCATCTCAATCGTTTTGTCAACACTTTTCAAAGGAAATGTCATATGGTATGCTCCCAGAAGTTGACTCTATGACTCATTCGTGTATCTTAAACTCCTTCGCATAACTGAACTTCAAAACTCCTGCAATAAGTTTAACATTCATTAAGTTTTCTCGTTATCCTTGTTTATTGTAGTATTTATGAGAGCATTTAACACTCCAGCTAATGTTTCCATCTTATATTCTACATTATTGTGAAATCTTATTTCGTGCTTCTTTCCATCTATTTCAAGCTCCATGAAATCTGTTTCGTCAGTTATAACGAATGAAGCAATAGTATTAAAGTCAACCATTCTGAATGCAAGTGCTCATTCTGTAGACCTAAGTTTGTTTGTAGTTTACTGTCCCGTATTCGTTTGGGTCTGTACTTTGCAAATAGAACAACATTTTATTCTCATTAAAATATGAGTATAGCTGCATATGCGTATGAAGCTGACAGAGCTAAACGTTTATATTTTGGTCAATACTCTCTCACACTTACTGACAAATATATTGTTATCTGATGGAAATACTGAGAAATACATAACATGGAAGGACTATGAAAAGTTTGACCCATTTTAACTCCATGCACTATGCCATTCATTGTAAATGGTGAAGTTGTCATGAAGAACGACACAACAGTATATAAGTCTGTTCATGAAGCGTTAGAATATATGTTGAATTATAATCCCGAAAGATTTGACCCAAGCACTACGCCATGTGCAATGCCTTTATTAAGGATGGTGAAATCGTAAGGTTCCGAATTCAACGGTTTACAGCTGTTCAAAACAGTTTACAAAACATTTTAGCGAATATCTTTAATTCAGAAACTACAGAAATAAAATTACCGTATATAACAGATGCTAAAGAAATTAAATCAAAAACAACAACATTATTTACGTCACTTAATGATTTAATGACTTATATCATTAATATTCCTGCACCAACTACAGCATTTGATCCAAACTCGACGGTTTGCAGTGTACCTTTCATAAATGACAGTTCATTAATTACTTTAAGGGATTCGACAGTAAATGAATCATTAAAGGCGTCATTAATGAAAATCATTGATTTTAATTCATTCACGAATACATATAATTCATTCATTAATGTTTCATATGCTTCTAAAGAAGGTGAGCCAAAAACTATCATAAAGCGGTGTATGAAATAAAAGCATCAACGACGAAATTGAATTCGTTAACTTTTGACGGTGATAGTTTCGTTAATGACATAACATCGGGGAAAACAATTTTAACGAAAGAATACTTAAAATCTCATGTTAGTGAGTTCGTTGAAATTGAAAAAGAAGGTGGAATTAAGTTCGATCCACTGAATTTCATTTTCAGCTTAGCGAATGCGGGTGTTAGTTTCGCTGAATGGACAACTATACAGAGTGAAATAAATGCAATATGGACGTTTTTGGGGTCAAAAGCGGGAATGGGTGAGCTTGTAAATGCTGCAAGAACATTAGGTGAAACAGGAAATTTTGTAGATGGTTTTAAAAGACTTGTTTCAAATGTTTTAACAAACACAAAGAAATTATTTAGATATACCATACATAACGGTCAGATTTTCGAACAGGTAGCAACAAACCCTCCGGTTATGGCTGCGTTGATGATGGTTAGAGATATAAAACCACGTAACGACGGGAACGAAGAACATGAACAACAGGATACTGGTCGGGTTATTCGAGACATTAAAAACGTGTATCCTGAAGTTATTGATTTATTTAGAGGAGTTAATGATTCAATTTCAAAACATTCTATAACCCTCGATGAAGAGAATAAATTAACAGATTATATATTCGTCATTATTGCAGAATTAATGAAGAGAATAAATGAAAAAGGAATTGGTGATATCATTAATGTCAGCGATGTAATGATGAAAAGAAATTTTGACTCATTATTTACAAAACCGAAAACAGAATATAGTCTTTATGACGTAATTACCGAATTAATGAAAAAGATTAATGATAATAAGAGTTCTGGCGGAAGAGTTGAATTAGAAGTGAATGATGTTAATGAGAAATTAGCCGAAAAAGCAGACAAAAATGAGCTTTTAGCTCTGAGTGATAAAGTCAAGAACCACGTTCATTATATAACTTCAGACGAACAGATTATAACGGACTACCATGGATATTTAACACGAAGTGATGAAGTGAAGACGGAAGATGTTAATGAAAGAAGATATAAATACATTCGTGCTAAAGGTTATGACATAAGCTGTACTGTACAGTATGACACGGGTAAAGCACCAGAAGCATTTAGTTATAACGATGAAATTTATGCCTCTACTTTCTCTGTTAAAGGTGTATTAGTTGAACCAAGATTTACTTTGAGAGTTAAGTCAAAAATAACGTTTGAAGATGCTATTAAAAGTAAAGCTGACAAAGTTGAACTCGAAGCAATGAACAAAGTTTTGAAATCTCATAAACACAACATCTCCGATATAAATGAACTTCAAGCTACATTAGACAGTAAAGCCGACAAGAACCATACATATAAATCCTTCACTACTGTTAGAGCAGACGACATAATATTGAACTATACCCTTGGTTCAAGTGCACTATTAGAGAATCCAAGTACAAGCGTAAAAGATACACTAAACTCCTTAAATAGTAAATGTATGAACATTGAAGGTCATGTCAGAAACTTTGAAACACATGAACTACCAGCAATGTTAGATAAAAAAGCAGATAAAGAAATACACATAACTCCTTCTCAACTGTTGCTATAGAAAGTATTGAAGGAACGGTTGGGAACTGGTGGGGAGGGCGGAGCCCGCCGCATGCTTTATTATAAACCTCCTAACTTTCCACAAGGTTTAACATCGAATGAAAACATAACAACAAAGAAAGAAATTAGCTGTAAAAATGTTTATGTCATGGATGATGAAAATAATGTTAAATTCACTGCTCAAGATTTATATGATAATAAAGCTGACAAGAACCATACATATAAATCCTTCACTACTGTTAGAGCAGACGACATAATATTGAACTATACCCTTGGTTCAAGTGCACCATTAGAAAATCCAAGTACAAGCGTAAAAGATACTCTTAACAATTTAGATAACAGTTGCAGGAATATCGAAGATCATGCCAGAAACTTTGAAGCATATGAACTACCAACAATGTTAGATAAGAAAGCAGACAAAACAGAGCTTCAAACATTAAAGACAGAAATACTTCAAACATTATATCCTATAGGCTCTATTTATACGTCAATGAACTCAACAAATCCATCAACAGTTTTAGGTTTTGGTACGTGGAAGCAGATTGTAGATAAATTCTTATACTGTGCTAGATATTCAAAGCAAACAGGAGGTTCGAAGAAAATTAAAGAAGCAAACCTTCCACCGCACACTCATACAGGAACGACAAACACAACAGGTAATCATTCACATTCAATAACAAAAAGAGGTTATATAAATCTTGCAGCAGGTTCGGATAGACAGGGAATGAATAGATATGATATTTCAACTGACCCAGTAGATTCAAGCACAGGTATTTTCTGTGGAACCACAGGTAATCATTCACACACTTTCACAACAAATCCAACAGGCTCGGGTGCAGATTATATGCCACCATTTGTGACTGTATTCGCATGGTACCGCGTTCAATGAACGCGCTTGAGCCTAAATAAAATCTTTAACTTTACATAAATGAGCTTGAAAGAAGTATTCGAACAACATCCATGGAGGTCATTTAAGAAGTTCAATGAAGCAGCAAAAAGTTGGGGATTTACTAACAGAGCTGAAGTGAAAAAGTTCTTTGACAAAAATGTTGTACATCAAACAAAAATAAACCCTTACGACTACTTTTTACCAATTTACTCCAACACTCCTGACGCATACCAATTTGACACTCTCATTCAAAGCAGAAAAGGAGGACATAAACCATTCCTCATCTTCATTAATGTTAACACTCGAAAGCATATGCATATCCAATGAGGAATAAAGGAACTCGTGAAGTGTTAAGAGTTTTACAAAAGTTTGTAGCAGAACATAGCCCAAGTACTTTAACATCAGACCAGGATTCAGCATACCTCAGCAATGAAATCACAGATTTTCTCATTAAGCATAACATAACTCACTACACTACTGAAGACCATAACCATAACATACTCGGCATCATAAACCGCTTCATAAGGACGCTCAGAGATTTAAACAAGAGCGAGACTTTACCGAAGAAACAATGAAACATTTTCTCGAAGTATATAATTCCTCAACACATTCTACAACAGGACATACACCAAATTCAATGACACAACAACAAGAAGAAAAGTATATACAAAAGAAACGAAGCCAAACACAAAATATCAGAAATTCAACACAATTTACCCTCATTCCTGGTACAAAAGTTCGTGTAGTTCTTGACGACAAACCGTTGACAAAGAAACGTTTAAGGTTAAGTCGAAATTATTATATCGTAGACTCTACGCAAGGTAATGGATATCTTATAAAAGCTGCTGACGACTCCATTGCATTTTACCCTCGTCATAAATTAGTCGAAAGTAGTAATGGCAAACTTGCTGAAACCATTGACGAAGCAAAGCGAGGAGTGGTTATTGAAATACTTGGCTATAACATAAACGATGACACTTATAAAGTAAGATATGAAGGAGGCGTTGAAGATGTTATACCATCTAAGAACTTGAGAGAATCTAAACCAACTCATCTGGGTCCATTAGAGCGGGAGTACTGGAAAGATAAAAACATGCCAGAAAGAATAAGAAAATTCTTCTAAACTTTTTCGTTGGATGTAAATCAGACAAAAATATATTTTAGGTGAAAAGGTGAGATTTCACCTGTTTTCTCACCTGTTTTTTCACCCTCACCGCTTAGCGGCTCAGATTGCTTTTGCTTTCTCGTGAATTTTCATGAATTTCCTTAAGATAGAAAAATAAAGTTAGTTTTATTTTTATTTATTTTTTTATTTTGTATAAAAGATATGATTTCAACAATCGGCACAACAACAATTCAAACAACTACAGCACCAAACTCGCTAGTCATGAATCCTACGTCAATGTTGGTAGAGATGAAAAGCTTTATTCCTTCTTCATATACTTTTGAGACAGAAATACAAAGAATTAAGCAAGAACTTTTAACAAGTAATTTAGACTGTAGTGCGAAAGATGAAACAAATGAACAGTATCTTTATGACATGCAGGACATTATTGACCATTTACCCAAATTGCCTGAAATTCAGCAGCAAAAACTAACTATTCATGAATTCGATGAAATAGAAGTGAAACCAACTGACTCAGTAGAAATAAAGAAGTTCATACGTAAAGTAAACTATGAGTTTCTAGGATATCATTGCAACCATAAAGTTATGGACAAAGATTGCGACATGGTATATAAGAACATCTCTGACATATATAAATCTGGGGAGTTTAAGACATACGACAACTTTGTTTCATTAGTTGCTGAATGTGTATGGCAGATAAGAGATAAAGATAAAAGATGTAAAATATGGAATGGACAAATAAAACCAACAACTTTTGAGTTAAAGAAAACCATTGACGCCTTAGTTGTTCTAGCAGGTCAAATTTCAATGTATAACGCAAAAATGAATCCGCAATGTTCAAAATGTAAAGCAGCAATGAGGAAATATAACTACTCCGTCAAAGAGATAGAACGTATGAGAAACGACTATGCTGACTTAAAGAAAGAAGTAGAGAAACGCAGCAGAATATAAATGGACATGTTAGCATTTCTGAACAAAAACTATCAACAGCTGACGATTTCCTATTATCTGATGTCAAGAAGAAGTATAAAGAAACCTTCGGCATAGTTAAAATTTTTGATATTCTTCGTGAAGAAATAGAAGCTACGAAATTGTTTAGAATTTCAAATATACATCGTACAATTCATGTAAAACGCTTATAAAATAACTGGGGTGAAAAATTAGGTGAGAAAACTGGTGAAATCTCACCTCTTCACCTAAAATATATTTTTATTGAATTCAGCAACAAAAATAATGAATTTCATTAGTTAGAAAAATAAAGTTAGTTTTATTTTTTTATTTTGTATGTAAGAACAGAAATGACAAACATTGAGTTTGAAACAGTTAGAAAGATAGACAATGACACCAAAGTGGTTAGAATAGGTGATTTAAACGTAAGATACTCAAAGAAATACAACAAATATTCTTTGTCAGACATTATATCTCCATCTGAAAAGAAAACAAACCATTGGGTTAGAAATGCTTCAACTCAGAAAATTTTGACAAGAAATCCTGAGCTTATGATATCGGTAAGATTCTATGGAACTACAGCATATCTCATTGACAAAAGTCTTATACCAATAGTTTTGTTATGGTTAGACCCAGTTGTTGGATATAACTTCATAACTTATGGTTCATTCAATACGGAACGTTGCAGTGAAGGCTTACTTTACATCGTTCAGAAACCGAAGGACTTCAATACAAAGAGATATAAGATAGGAAGAACATATAATATAACTCAAAGATATGACAGTACAGTCAATAGAGTCAAGGTTGTGTTCGTTAATGATATGAGAGCTGCAGAAACAGAACTACTTGAAAAGTTTGAGAAAATGTATGGTGCTCCCATGAAAGGTAAAGAAACGTTTGAAGTAGATGAGATAGATAAAGCTATAAAATTATTTGACGAAGTTGCTGAAAAATACATGTAAAGCGTTTATTTTTGGTCTTTTGTGAAAGTCAGAAAATAAAGTTAGTTTTTTATAAAAATATTTTTTATCCGGAATATAAAGACAGATATGTCAACAACAGAGAACACAACAACTGCTATCGTTCATGAAGCCATTAATGAAGAATATGAATACATACAGTATACAAACAATTGAGACTCATTTCGTTCGGTCAAAGACGATATGTACCAGATGCAAAGTATAATGAATGCTCTTCGTTCTACAAAGCAAGCATATCATTGGTTTGAAAACCAACAGACAAAAGAACTTTTAGAAGAATTTCCTCATATGATTGCTTCCCTCGGAAAACCGAGGGAAGAGATTCCATTCGAAAATCGCAAGAATTTGGCTCCTTGTTTGAAAGGTTATTATGTTCATAGACTTTTAGTAAGACGCTGTATCAATGTGGGCTTCACCTCGTTATGCTTGTTATATTTTCATGATGTTAGATGAACTATATAAAGCAGAACGTGAAGATATGGAAATGAAACTTCAAGCAAAAGATGAAGTCATTGAATCCAAAGACAAAAGCATACAGAAAAGAATACCACGTTCAGTACCAAAAGGAAAGGAAAAGAGTTATAAGTATATGATATATACTGAAGAGTTGGAGAAAGAAGACAGTGACATGGTTACGTTGCATTTAGTCAGAAGAAACAACAAAAGCTTTTACGACCTTGTTAAGATTTACAAATCTGACAGAAATTGGTTCTATCGTGAAAACTTACCGATTTCAATGACACCGAATGAAGATGTTAAACAGATAGTTCAAGACACACTTCCTCAAACACACTATGACATCAAAGGTTGCACAATACTTACATTCAAAGAAGACTTAACATTACTGAAGGAAAAAATAACAGAATATTTCGATAACTTCAAAGAGGAAGAATGTAAAAAAATCTCGTCGGGTGCCACGTTAGAACCATAGTGGAGAAAACCATGATAAAAACAAAACGCTCCATGTCGATCATAATCGACGAAGTGCAAATCTTCACTTCGTCAAGTTTATTTTGTTTTTACCATTTAATTGTTGTAAAATGTCGATATGAAGAATGAAAAAAAATCTCGTCGGGTGCCACGTTAGAACCATAGTGGAGAAAACCATGATAAAAACAAAACGCTCCATGTCGATCATAATCGACGAAGTGCAAATCTTCACTTCGTCAAGTTTATTTTGTTTTTTACCATTTAAGTGTTGTAAAATGTCGATATGAAGACTAACCAAAAATATATTTTTGCTTAAATGACGTCAGGGTCAATTTCTTCAACCATTTCACTTCCTTCGTCAATGTCAATAGAAGCTTCTTCAACCTTGGTAAGAATTTCTGTTATAACATCTTTGTTCGTTATTGTCTTCAGAGATGAAGGGATAATATTTCACATTTGTTTCACCCTTCTTATATTCTTTCTGTTCGGAAAATTCATAGCAATACTGAAGAAGTCAATGTTAGAGTTCTTTATGACAGTATAAATGAGTATCTTTGACATTCACGAAGAAAACTCTTTTGTTTCAAAACTACTGCTAACTCTTGTGAAGTATAACGTTGCGGTTCAATGACAATAGCTAATGGTCTGACATACTGACCGAACTTAGATTCTTTCACAAACTTCTTGTTAAAGATAACATTGACGTTTGACAGCACCATTGAACTCATTCTTGATGGCAGTAGCGAGAGCATTGTATGAAAAGAACTTGCAATCTTGCATGTGTTTCATTATAATAAAAAGTTCGAAATATATTTTAAAACTAGCCTTAAAAAATCTAAGCTAATTTTTTTCTAAGAAATTTTTTTATTTCCTACTAAGATGTATCGGAAGTTGTCTAAGTTAGAACACTCGGAAATAAAACAACTTCTTACAGAAGCTAACATAGATGTTGCAAAACATTACGCGACAAACAAAAAATCACTCGCTGACATCCTCAATGACTACAATGGTGAAATAACTTATGATAGAATTCATGAGTTCATAAATGCAAGAGCATTTCCTTTAAATGACGTTGCTATTGACTTATATCATAGACGTTCAGTACCTCATGAAGTAAGAAGAGAAATGTTTGACATAACAAATGCAAACGTTGGTCATACTCGTAAAGCTCTTTCGCATGATGTTCTTCGTCAAGAGATGTTTGAACTTACGAACTCAAACGTTGGTGAAAACACGAAAAGAGAGACGACACACTGAAACAACAGAGAAGAGAGATGCTTAAAGTGCTATAGAACAAGTTCGCAAAGCTAATTGTCATTCGTTCCATTGACGACAAACCAAAAGAAGGTGAGAGATGGTTAAAAAGAAAGATGAAGAGAATAGGAAGAGAAATGTGAAGTCAGGCAATAGACTCATTGACTTTAACATCGAAGCTTTAGATGAACCAAACAGAGACTACTTACACAAACATTTCGGTAAGATTTTCATGAGACTCTTAGAGAAGATTAAAATAAACTCCCAACAAAGATGGATGGTATGTTATAAACTTGGTGGAAAGTATGAATGTTCTACGTTAAACCTCAATAATATTGGAACATTACTACATCAGCTCTTGAAGGAGAACTTTATATCAGAGATAGAAGCAAATGCTGCAGGTATTGTTGAAATGCACTATGACTTCTTCTTGACAAACATAAAGAATCTTACTGAAATAAAGATGTATGATTTAACTGAATATGAAGGCTTAACGATGTCAGATGTTAAGAAAGGAAAGCCACAGAAGCGACCATATAGAGATGAAAGCACACTGACAGAAAGACAGAAAAGATTATTGAACAGACTTAAACAAACAGGAGATAAACAAGATATAGATGACTTCTGGAATGAAATCCTTGGTGAAAAGAAGTTTTATAAGAAGAGAAGCGGTCAGTTCTGGAAGTATCTTTGCACGTTACCTATAAATCTTGAACGCTACCAAATCTTCAATGAACTGAACAAAAGAACTGCAGCACTTATGACAGAGACAATTGTTTCGTTTATGCTTGCATTCAGGCTGGAGTAAATGAAGAAACTATTGACCACATGAGAGAAGTCATTCGTGTTAGAGACTTTCCTCAAAGTAAAGTACAAGAAATTTCTGACGCAACAGGTATAGCATTTAATGTTACCATTGGTTACTTCAATGACTCCAGACATAATGAAATAAAGAGATACATACCAAAAGAATGTAAAAACTGTTCGAACTATTGACTTACTTCTTGTTGAAGACCACTACATGCTAAATGAAAGACTTCCAATGACAACATATTTCATTCGCAACTATATAGAAATCTTGAAGGAGTGTGGTGGAATGAACATTGAGAAACAGATGAAGATTTATACAAAGAGAGAAGATAAATATGTAGTTCGCATGGATAGAAACTACACCGCTATGGGATGTTATGAAAACATTGTGGAGTGCAAATATTTCGAACCTATTTCTTATGGAGAACTTTTCACATATACGACTGACTTATATAAACAGAACCTTGCACCATTTAAAGATTTGACATATGCTCCAAAGTATTGTGTACAACTGAAGAAGAAAGCCGAGTCAAAAGAAGTAAATAAAGCTAAATGTAAGTTCATTCCTGAGCATGTTTTCTTTGCTGACTTTGAGTGTAGTACGGATGGCTTTCATAAAGCTTTTAACATCTGTTACGACAGTGAAGATGGTTCAGTGAGTCAAAGCATTTGGGGTCAGAACTGTGCAACAGAATTTTTGGAACGACTTCCTGACAAGAGTTTAATATATTTCCATAACCTCAGCTATGATATAAACTTCATCTTAAGACACATGACAGAAGTGAAAGGAACTCCCATCATTAAAGGTTCACGAACAATGCAAATAACTGGCTTATATAAAGGAAGGGCAATTATTATAAAAGACTCTTACAGTGTTATAAATAAGAAGCTTAAACTATTTCCTGCTATGTTTAACTTACAAACAGGACCGAAAGAAGTATTTCCATACAACTACTACAGCAGTACTTTGTTAGCAAATGACAACAGAACTGGTGTCATTTCTGAAGCGTGTAAGTTTATCCAGGATGCGGATACATTTATGAAGAACATAGATTCCATCAAAGGTTGCAGAATAGATGAAAACCACTTCGACTTAGCAAAGTATAGCACGTTTTACTGCAAACAAGATGTAAGAATATTAAGAGAAGGTTTTGTTAAGTTCCGCAATGACATATTGAAAGAATTTGATTTAAACGTTTATGACTACGTTAGCATTTGTTCAATTGCTAACAAATTATTTGAGAACAGAGTGTACTTCCCGAATGGAAATTTATATGACCTCTCAAATAAACCAAGAGAATTTATTTCGAGATGCATTCAAGGTGGAAGATTTATGCTGTCAGATAACATTAAACAAAAGAGCGAAAAGAAACTCATTGCTGACTTCGACGCTGTTTCATTATATCCATCAGCTATAGCAAGACTTTATACTTTAGAAGGTATTCCAAAGGTTATGAAGAAAGAAATGTTAAGCACAGAGTATCTCATGAGACATTTATTCGATGACGACCAAAAGGAACCCATTGGTGAAAAGTTTATGTCTGGCTTCTTTGTTCTCATTAAGATAACAGAGATTGGAATACATAGACACTTTCCTTTAATAGTTTGTGACCCTGAACTAAATCCAGAACTTAACGTTCCCAGAAGTTCAAACACTTGCTGTTTAATGTATGTTGACCATATAACATTACAAGACCTCATAAAATATCAAGGTGTCAAATGTGAAGTGTTGCAAGGATACTATTACGATGGAAACAGAGATATTAGAATAAGAGATGAAGTAAAGAAGTTGTTTGAGTTAAGGTTAAAGTATAAGAAAGAAGGAAATCCTTTGCAAGAAAATATAAAGCTCATTCTGAACAGTATTTATGGCAAAACTATTCTATCTCCTATTGAGTCAAAAATAACCATAGTAAATGACAAAGATGCTATAAGATATGCCATCAGAAACTACAACCATATAGTGAAGTTCGAAGGTTTGGATGGTTCAGATAAAACTATTTTCAAGCTAACGAAAAGCATTTGCAGACACTTTAACTTCTGTCCACTTGGTGTTAACATTCTGTCTATGTCGAAGAGAATAATGTGTGAAGTATTCTGTACTGCTGAGGACTTAGGAATGGACATCTTTTATAGCGATACGGACAGTATGCATCTCTACAATGAAGATATCCCTCGTTTAGCTGAAGAGTTTGAGAAGAGATACGGTAGAGAACTTATAGGAAAGAACCTTGGTCAATTTCATTCTGACTTCGCAGAAATAACACCTGGAAAACAAAGTTTAGCATACAAGTCAATATTTTGTGGAAAGAAGACTTACATAGACTTACTCACGAATGATTTAAATGAAGTTGCATTCCACTGCAGAATGAAAGGCGTGAAGCAAGATGTTATTGCTTTAACCGCTAATGAAATGTTTCCTGACTCTGTTCAGTGTTTTTATGATGAAGATAAAGGTTTAATGGTTCCGCAAGGAACATATGACAAAGACTCTGAGTTCAGTGTTATGAAGTTATATAAAGCACTTCATGATGGTCAAGAGATTGCATTCGACTTATGTAAGTCTTCTAGTCCTTGCTTTGCTGAAAAGTTTAACTTCTCAATAACGACTAAAACAAGCTTTATTCGTAAGTTGAAGTTCTGAGGTCATTTATTTTTGTCAGCAATGAGGTCATTCGTGATAAAAATAAGCCGCTAGCGGCAAGGGCGAAGCCCATGAGGTCATTTACAATACTGCGATGGTAGAGTTTAAGAGTTGTGCTTCAATGTAGAGACAGTCCTTATGGTCTGGAGGTAAGAACACTGGGCAGTTATGGTCATGAGTGGAGAACATGTCTATCCAAAACTCACGATTGAAGCCAGTTAATTTATAGTATTTAGGGTTAGGAAGTGGTGAAGTTCTTGTATGACCAATAAACTCATTTTCAACTCCCTTACTTAAGTTTGAATATAATATAGCTTGCTTTCTATCCCAAATGCCAGGTGTTACAATCTTTGAAAATTCATTTTTCCTCGGAAGCATTGCATCATAATTGAAAACATTTTTGAAATCATCACTTGGTTCAGAGATTTGAAATCTTATACGTAATGGATTTTCTTTCTCTTTAGCGACTTCATTGAATGGTGAGAATACAACAAACTGACAGTCATGTGTTCCATCTTCATTTTCATTAAATTCATAATGAAAGTCTATAAGTTGTGGCTGACTACCTTCTTCTTTCAGTTGTGCAAGAAACTCACGTAAAGGCTGTAAAGTTTGTACTTCAATGTTAAACTTTTTCTCGAACATTTCATTAAATGAAATCATACATTGCAACAATGTTGTATCGTCTTTAAAGTATTTGTATATGTGAATGTTTTGGGCGCTTAAAGACTGTTCGTCATTTTCTATCTCGACTTGAAGTATAAAGTCAACCTTTCTGAAAGCACGTGTTATATACATAGATGTTATGCCAATGTACTTCTCTTCATTTATGTTCACAATCCAGTCTGTTGGAAACTTAAACGTTACTCTGTTCCCCTTTATTTTGACGTCAGGGTTTTCACTACTGAACGCAACAGATAAAGGTATTTGTCTATACATTTAGTTCCGATAAAAATAACCCATTTACTCTTTCTTTGCTTCAGCTTCTTTAGCTTTTGCTTCAGCTTCTTCTCTAGCTTTTTTCGCCAGTAGTCTTGGGTTCTTTTGTCTTCCAGCAGCTAATGCAGCAAGTTGTTTTTCACTAAGTTTTCTCTTTGGTCTCTCTGGCTTTTGTTCTTGTTTTTGTTCCTTCAGTTCGGATAAAATTTGCTCACGAATTTCTTTCTTCAATGCTTCAACATCTATGACTCCTTGGGTCTTGTCCGTAGGGCTTGTCTGAGTCATTTGACTGCAGATAAAAAACAAAATTAAAACTTTAACCGATGTAAAATGAGCTTGTCAAAATCAGAGCGAGAGTCTATTATATTAAATGACGCAAGAGGAATACAACATCCTTTCTATTATGTAAGTCAGAGTAAAGATGGTAAAATATACGTAAGAAAAAGAAAGGTTCCATTAGCGAATGCAGAAAGCGACAACATTAAGGTGTATGGCAAGGGCGAAGCCCACGAAGCCCATGTTAAGCCTTCTATTCAAACTGAAAAGTCAATAGAACCAGAAGAAAAGAAGCCAGATGTACTTTCAATAACGAACCAAGAGCTTATTGCAAAGTTCGTGAATTTCATTGAAAAACAAACCGAGTCAAAGAACCCTGACCCACCAGTGAAAGAAGTTGAGACAAACGAGAATGTACAGTTCATTGAAAATGTCAAGAAACAACTTCCACCACGAATGCCAAGAAGAAGAGTGAGAATAATGAAGTAAATAGATATTTTTATCTGAAGTAAATACATGCAGAACGAACAGTTAAACGAATTTACTCCAGCAGAGCATATTCATCAGATTCGCTCATATTTCGATATCATAGACAATGCAGTTCAAATTGGTGACACTAATAGAAAATATTCTGACGCAAAGATTCCATCACAACCTGGAACTGCTAAAGATAACACATGGGTAACATTCAATCTCTCACCTCCTGGTGAAATATGTTGGACCTTTACAATACATTCATTACGTATAAAATGGAAGGTCAATTTATTGTAGATAAAGAAATTGGTTCAGGTTCCAATAAAACAAACCCACCAGGATTTTGGATTGGTTTCGATGACGCTTTCTATGCAGTTGCTGGATATCAAATCCTTGCAAATGGTCGTATCGTATATTCTCAAGACAACGCAAGAGAAGAAGCATATATAACTTCAAACTCACAAACTACCGAACAAATAAAGAAAGTAGATGTTTTCTCAAAGACTCGACATGAAGATGTATGGAGTCATTCGGGAACATGCAGAACAGGACAAATTGTTAGTGGTCCAATTACAGCAGGAAAATCATTTGATTTTAAGCTTCGTTTAAGAATTCCTGTTAGAAGATTCCTTCCATTAGAAGCTATAAGATTTATTCCTGCATTTGCTGGTAACATTCAGCTTAAAGTAAAGTTCAGTAGCGACGCCTTACAATGCACATCTATATCTGTAAATGATATCGTTGCTTTCAATCCAACTCTTAAAGTTGCATTTGCTTCAGATTCAAATCCACCGACAAATAAATTTGTTCCATGGAATGAACCATTCACTATGATAACGAAGGCAATAGAAGCTAGTGGAACAGTTACTATTACAACTGTAACCCAGCAACTATTTCGAATAAAGATGGATTTTAATGAATGTTTCATTCATCCAAAATCATTCTCTTTAGACCCTAACATTTATACAGAACTTGTAGAACATTATACAAACGAGGCTTTATGTTTTCCTGTTAAAGTTATGGATTGGATTCCTATGGACGGTTCATTCTCAAAGAATACAGATAGTTCAAGTGCAACATTTACAGCAGCTTATACGCCTATTAATGTTAAAAGTATTTGGGTACTATTTAGAAAGAAAGACAACTATTATGTTAATTTTGAGAACCCTAAGTTTAAATATCTTCAGCTTTCCATGGGAGCTTATGGAAATATGCCTGCAGAACCTGAAAAATCATATGGACCTGTATTTTATGAAATGGTTGCGAACGCTTGCAATACAAACAATGATATGATTGGATTTAATGAAGATGTTATGAGGTCATTGGTGGATGATGGTAGTGTGGAACATAAATGGGATAGCTATGACAACACACATTTCTTATGTGGTTTTCCAACAGAAGTGGACTTTTGCTTCCAGCAAGGTCAAACATCTACTGCTCCAATAACATACAAATTGTCTGTTAAAGGACCTATTGAACTAGCAACTGAAAATGTACCAAAGCCACTTATTGGATTTATGAGGGATTGTTGCTTTGCCATTTAGGTGCGTGCTAATGGAATCCCAATAATAAGATTAGATGACTATAACTTAGCTGCGGACGACAGTGAGGAATAAAGGATGAACGTTTATTTTAAAGCTTATAAATGAGTTCTTCATCAAGCTCTCGTGAACCTTCACCATCTATGAAACAAACTTTACCAAACGATTATGGAGCACCTATTGAATATTTCTTACGAGCTGCACAATGGCAAAGAGCAGTCTCACCAAGGTTAGGTGTTCCACCAGCTCCTGTCAAAAATAGCATTTGGTCAAGTCCTTATATAAGATATGGTCTCCCACTAGGTTTGCTAGCTACAGCAGGAGCAGTTATGATGTTGAAAAGAAATAAAGCAAATGTTGTAAATAATACTGAAGTAGCTGAAGTTAAACAAACTCCAACACCTTCGCCAAAACCAACGCCTTCACAAGCAAAACCTTCAATGACTCCTGAACCTATGGAAGTACAAACTCCTGTTCAAAAGTCAACTCCTAAACCGACTCCAACATTTAAACCAGAACCTACTCCTCAAATAAATCGTAAAACTCCTGCGTTTCCTTACTGAAAAAATAACGTTATTTTTATTTAATATTAAAATTTTTATTTGATTGAAATGACAAATAAAGTCACTGAAGCAATGAAACAAAAGTTTTTGGTAGAATACATTAAATCAGGAACTATTCCAGAAGGTTTTTACATTCATACTATGAAGGATGGTAGAGTTCAGTTTAGAAAGATAAAGCAACCATTAGATAGAGAAGGTATATTAAGGAAGATTAAACTTCATGAGGACAACATTGCTGAACTTAAGAAGAAGTTAGAAGAGTTGGAGAAAGGAAGAGAGTTATAAAGCAATGAATTCAACAGGGTGAAAACCGGGTGAAAAAAGATGTGAGATTTCATCAATTCACCTAAATTTATTTTTGTGCTATGTTTTCATACGTGTGGGAGTGGTGATATCATTAATTTTTAAGTTTATTTTTTATTTTA